CTCACTCCTCCTCCACCCCATAAACACTTGTGGCTGGCTACCTTCTCCCTATTTATTTCCCTCCAGAGCACTTTGATCTGAAAAAATCCTGTGAACTCACTGTCTCCCCTACTTCTGCTGGAAGACCCGAGTTCCCGGTGCCTGGCAGACAGCAGGCACTCAATAAACACCAAAGAAGTGAAATAGATACCTTATTACCCTTATCTTGAAGATAAGGAAACTGAGGCACAGAGAATCTAAAGCCTCCCCCAGGCCACATGCTCATTAAGTGACAGATTTGTTGTTGTTATTAATCCTTACCCAAGGATTTTTTCCACTGATTTTTAAAAATATATATCTGTATTGATTTTAGAGAGGAAGGGAGAGAGAGAGAAAGAAACATCAATGATGAGAGAGAATCACTGATTGGCTGCCTTCTGCACACCCCCTACTGGGGATCGAGCCCGCAACCTGGGCATATGCCCTTGGCCGGAATCGAACCTGGGACCCTTTAGTCCGCAGGCCGACGCTCTATCCACTGAGCCAAACTGGCTAGGGTTCCATTGATTTTTTTTTTTTTTTATTAGAGAGAATAAAAGGGAGGAGGAGAGACAGAGAGAAACATCACATCGATGTGAGAGAGACACATCAACTGATTGCCTCCTCTATGTGCCCCAACCAGGGCTAGGGTTTCAGTCTGCAACCAAGGTACATGCTCTTGGCCGGGAACTGAACCTGAGACCCTTCAGTCCTCCGGCTAATGCTCTATCCACTGAGCCAAACCAGCTAGGGCTAAGTGACAGATTTAAACCCAGGCCAGCTGATAATAGAATCCATGCTCTAAACCCCCCAGTTCAGGGCTCCTCAGAGGCACGGACTCCCATGGGAACCTTGTCTGCCCCACGTATCAGAAGAGAAGGAGGGCTGGGGAGCACTGGGGCAGAGAGCACTTTCAGGATGACACATCCTAACCAGGGACTGCTTTTCCCAGCAGGACTTTGCCAAAGCTGGAAAGAAAAACTGAGCTTCAAGGGGCGGGTCCCTCATTCCTGGGTTTCCGGGGCTGGCCAAGTCGGGGAGGAGAACCATCCCACATGTCTGGCTGTGGCCCAGCAAGCTGTGGACACAGGGCTGACCCTGCTATAAGAAGTCACTTGTGCTGAGCATGTTCTCTGTGCTTGGCACTTGCTTCAGGCTTTACATGCACTGATGCTCTATGAGGCATAAAGTTCCAGAGCCCACTTTGCAGATGGGTCAAATGAGGTCTAGAGAGGGCAGTTGCATGCCCTCTGGGGATCACACATCTGGGGAGCAGTGGGCCTGGAGTCCACATGCAGCCCAGGCTTGCTGTAGATTCTGAGCTCCTCAAGGCTCCCAGGCGGCCTAACTTCCTGTGAGCCTAGCACCAGGCCTCCAGAAAGAATGACCCAGGAGGCAGACGTTTGTCAACCAGCGTATTTCTTTTTCCTTTTTGGCATCTAGGTTTGGTTTCATTTTGAAATCAGAACTTTAGAAAATGAAAACAAAGCTATAGTAACCGTCAATGTTGGCAATGAAGAGAACCCACGTGGGTTTACCAACAGGGGCCTGACTCACTATGCTTGCACAATCAGGGTCTGGGCAGGTTAGAGGAAGGGATACCTCCGTTCTGCAGGCCAGGAAACTGAGACTCAAAGGGGCCCAAAGCCACAAAGGGCATGACAGAAGCTTGGATGCCAAGAGCTTATAAATGAGAGGAAAGCTGGCAGACCTGTGCCCACTCCTCCCTAGGCAGGCTCAGGATCCAAATGAATCTCTGATTTCTTTGGCATCTACTTTTTTTCCCAGAAGACGAAGTGGTCCAATACCCTGTGTATGAATCTTGGCTCTTCCCCATCTAAGCTGTATGCCCTTGGACAAGTGACTCCCCCACTTAGCCTTAGTTTTTCTATCTGTAAAATGGGCAGGTTGGATTGTGTACACCAATTCAATAGTCTAAGGCAGTGATGGCGAACCTATGACATGCGTGTCAGAGGTGACACGCGAACTCATTTTTTTGGTTGATTTTTCTTTGTTAAATGGCATTTAAATATATAAAATTGTTGGGGTCCAACCCCAGCAGGTCCAGGGGTCCCCAAAGGTGTGGACGGAGTTGGTGAAGAAGGAATGACATGGAGGCAGCGTTCACGTGATCATCGTAGCTAGGCCTCTAGCCAGGATCTCCAGCCAGGTTCTGTAGCCATGTTCTATCGTAGGTTCTCCAGTCAGGTTCTCCAGCCAGGTTCTATCCAGGTTCTCCTTCCATGTTCTGTCTAGGTTCTCCAGCCAAGTTCTTTTTTTTTTTTTTTTTTATATTTTTATTGATTTTTTACAGAGAGGAAGGGAGAGAGATAGAGAGTTAGAAACATCGATGAGAGAGAAACATCGATCAGCTGCCCCCCGCACATCCCCCACTGGGGATATGCCCGCAACCCAGGCACATGCCCTTGACCGGAATCAAACCCGGGACCCTTCAGTCCGCAGGCCGACGCTCTATCCACTGAGCCAAACCGGTTTCAGCCCAGCCAAGTTCTGTAGCCAGGTTCTGTCCAGAATCTTTTGCCATGTTCTCTCGCTAGGTTCTGTCTCTAGGTTCTGTGTCCTGTTGTCTTGTTACATCTGTATTTATACCAGTTGATTCCAATCCTATCAATCTCTATTCCAAAGGTTAGGGCGTTTCTTATCTCCATTCCAGGGAGTAAAGATTATGTAGTTTAAGAGTGATTGTTCGTAGTTAAAGTGATTAACTACCCTCCTGGCACTTAGTTAAGGGGTTTTATTCCCTCCCTAACTTCAGGGGAAAATCCCTACCTGGGGAAACAACCTTACTCGGAGAGGTGACCTTGGTTAAAACACATAGCGCCAAGAAGGTGAGCAAACATATTAAGAACAGTATGCCATATATGCCAGGTCCCTTGAAACATATGCTGTGCAGATGTTTCTTCCCTGCAACGACTGTGTCAAGCAGCAAGGATGGACCGGCTCCCAGCATAAAATAAATATCAAAAATATAAGTCTTTGTTTTACTATGGTTGCAAAGATCAAAACATTTCTATATGTGACACGGCACCAGAGTTAAGTTAGGGTTTTTCAAAATGCTGACACACCGAGCTCAAAAGGTTCGCCATCACTGGTCTAAGGGCTAAGGCATTTACACAAAGTCAGCTTTGGCCAACACATCACAGGTATAAGTAAATGAAATGAAGGAGGGGCCTCCGCAGGAATGGGTTGGAGGATATCAGCAAAATGGGGAGGGGGGAGTAAGAGAAGGAGGAGCCAGTCCCCAGGGAAAAGGGGTGGCTCTCCTAAGAGACTGTCAGTGGGAGTTGGGGGCATATGGGCCATCAGCTATTTATAGATTTCCCTCTGCCCACGGAGACATGTTGGCAGGAAGAAAAGTCATGCAGGAGCCAGAACAGCCTGGCTGCTTTCTTTGGGTCTGGACCTCCTTCCCCCAGCTCAAATGAGAAGAGAAGGAGGTGCTACTCCTCCCCACGGCCAGCATCCAGGGGCCTGTTTGCCCTGGTGAAACTCTCCTACTGCTCTGCTTGCGCCTCCTCTAACCTGTGCTCCCTAGCCTGGGGCTTCTAAGATGGGCATAAGGAAGGAAGCCATGTGTCTGCGGGCTTCAACATGTTGCCACACCCACGGGCACCCCTGGGTGAACAACAACAACAGCAAACACCTACTGAATGCTTATTATATGCCAGGGACTATTCTAAGCACTTGACCCACCCATGATCACTCATTTAATCCCCACTGCTATGAGGGAGGTACTAGTACCATCTGTTTCACAGGTGAAGAAACCAAGGCAGAGGGGTTAATTACAGGCTTAAAGGCACAAGGCTAGAAAGTCCAAGAGGTGAAATTGGAACCCAGGTAGTTTGGGTCCACAGTCCAGCTCTGGAATAGCCACAGCACCTGACCGCTGGCACATGCATGGCTCTGCATCTTGTCACCCGCTGCACACGAGCGCATGCATGTGCATGCACATGTCCCAGGACCACCACACCAGCAACCAACACTAGCTGCTGTCACATACTACTCAGGGAGCTGTTGGGGTCCTAAGCAAGACTGGTCCGGGGGCTACCTTCGGTGTTCAGGGCCTGGGTTCTGCCCGGGGCAAAAGGCAGTCAGGAAAACCCTGCACCGGGACTTCAAGGAGAGGAGCTGGCTAGTCGGCCACTTGAGAACTGCCTGTAGAGGGCAGTGTATGCCAGCGTGAGGCCAGCCACCATGCACCCAGCCTGTCCTGTCTTCTGTGTAACCCCCTCAGACTCTGAGACTACCCACCCACCAGACCCAACCCTCATTTGTTCCTCCTTCCCTTCAAAAATACATGATCCAGTCAGGCACCGACTCCATGCCTTTCTACCAGACAGGATCACTGGATCACACATAAATGAACAAATTACAGCCTAACCCGCCATGCCCCCACATCCCACGCCTAAGGTGTGAGTGCTGGCGGAGCCAGATGCTTGACGAATAATGGGAAGGAGAGGGGAGGGGGTGGGGGGGGCGAGAAAGGCGGCCAGGATAAAACAGTCGGTTTTAAGAATCACCACACAAACCATCTTTTCGTTGGGCTCCAAAGTGCTTTTGGAGGTGCCCAGCTGCTCTCTCCCCAAAACAAAAGTGAGGAGGACATGCCTCCTCCGGAGCTTCCCATCTGACAGTCACTGCAAAACAGAGCCCCTCCCCGGCCTCAGTTTCTCCAGCGTGGGAGGACGAGCCAGTGCCTCGGGGGACCTTGCCAGCCCCGCCCGGTTTCTGAGGAACTCGACCGGCATTGGAGCTGCCCCTCCTGCACTACCCAAGGGTTCCTCCGAAGCCTGTGGTCAGGCCGCCACTTCCTGGGAAGCCCGAGCCAAGACCAGCTGCAGGCGGGGAGCGCGAGGGAGGCTGCCCGAGGCTCCCGGCTACAGGGGAAGGGCACGGCTGGAGTAGTCCCGAGAGGTCCGAGGCCGGACCTCCAGGTAGGGCGGGGAGGTCTGGCTCGAGCAGAGAAGACAGAGACCTGCCGCGATGGGTACTGAGCCATCTGACGAGGAGAGGGCGCGTCAGGGCTAGTCCAGAATATCCTAAAGATCTAGGCTGCAGAAATCTGCGGCTGAAGGCACGGGGGCAAAACAGGGGCACTAGTTCCGAAGGGGGCGTCCGAGAAGTGACCAGGGGGTTCAGGGACGAGGCCAGGGACCTTGATGGGAGGTTCCTAGGACAGGTGCGAGGCTAAGTCAGGGCAGAGGTCCTTGCAGGGGGGAGTCTCCCGGGTGTGCAAAAGGTCGAGCTGGGAAGGCCTCCAGCAAAGAAAAAGAAACCGAAAGTGGCGCGGAAGAGCTGGGCCTGCAGGGGGGTGGAGTCCTGGGGCGGAGCGTCCTATCGCGGGGCCCCGCCCCAATCCGGTTTAAAAGACTGGTGCAGGGGCGGGCGCGGAGCAGAGCGAGCTGCGGCCGTGGCAGCAGCACGGCTCCCGGCCCCGGAGCATGCGCGAGAGCCGCCCCGGAGCCCCCCGGAGCCCCCTGCCGCCCCTCCTGCGGCGCCCCGCGCCCAGCCGCCAGGTGAGCCGGGCACTGGGCAAGGAGCGGGAGGGAGAGGGAGTAAACGGAAAGGAAAAGACGGCCTGGAGTCAGGCTGGCCTCGAGGACTGCGTGGTGGGGTTGCGGCCGCCACAGTCCCTCGCTTCTGCCGGCCCCACCCTGGCAGCCCCCCGCTCGTGGGGTTCCCGTAGAGCAGCTTTTCTCCTGCCTTTGCCCAAATCGCCCGGACCAGGCGCCAATCCCTGGCCTGGCCAGCAGGCGGCGAGCCGTAGATGGGACAGGCTTCTCCCTGGCACCTCTCTCCACGCCCCCCTCCGTTTACCCAAACTCTGAGCGCCTGCTGGAGGCTGGACCCTGCTCCCAGCGAGCCCCCATCGCCTGGAAGTGCTCCGCGCACCTGGAAGTCCATTTTCAAGATGAGCCCACTGAGGCTCAAAGGGGCCGAGCGGTCTAGGTCCTGTACCCTCAGCCCTTGAGGGTCAGCGGCTCAGCCTTAAGCCGCTCCCCCGCCCCACCGTTGCCTCGCGGCCCCTACCTGTCCATCCCCCCCCAGACTCCGCTCACTGCCTGTGTCTCCCCCATCAGCGCACCCCCGGACGCTATGGCCCACCCCTCCGGCTGGCCCCTCGTGTAGGATGGTAGCACACAACCAGGTGGCAGCCGACAATGCAATCTCCACGGCAGCAGAGCCCCGACGGCGGCCCGAGCCTTCCTCCTCCTCCTCCGCGCCCGTGGCCCTGGTGCGCCCGCGGCCCTGCCCGGCGGTCCCGACTCCAGCCCCGGGCGACACACACTTCCGCACGTTCCGCTCGCATGCTGAGTACCGGCGCATCACCCACACCAGCGCGCTCCTGGACGCCTGCGGCTTCTACTGGGGGCCCCTGAGCGTGCACGGGGCGCACGAGCGGCTCCGCACGGAGCCGGTTGGCACCTTCTTGGTGCGTGACAGTCGCCAGCGGAACTGCTTCTTCGCCCTCAGCGTGAAGATGTCCTCGGGCCCCACGAGCATACGCGTGCACTTTCAGGCTGGCCGCTTCCACCTGGACGGAAGCCGCGAAAGCTTCGACTGCCTCTTCGAGCTGCTCGAGCACTACGTGGCGGCGCCGCGCCGCATGCTGGGGGCTCCGCTGCGCCAGCGCCGTGTGCGGCCGCTGCAGGAGCTGTGTCGCCAGCGCATCGTGGCCACCGTGGGCCGCGAGAACCTGGGGCGCATCCCCCTCAACCCTGTCCTCCGAGACTACTTGAGCTCTTTCCCCTTCCAGATCTGACCGGCTCTGCAGGAAGCATTAACTCGGACGCCTTATTATTTTTTATTATTAATTATTATTTCCCTGGAACTATGTGGGTTCCCTTCCCCGCCTGGGTTGGAGGGAGCCAGTGTGGGGGGCGAGGTCCCTCCCCCTCTTGCCTGGAGATGAGGCCACAGACCCCTCCCCAACTCTTGGGGGCGTGCCCCCCTCCTGGTGCTCCCTCTGGGTCCCCCTGGTTGTAATAGCAGCTTAATTTAACTGTATCTGGGCCAGGACCTCAACTTTATCTCCTACCTCTTCATGTTTACATATACCCAGTATCTTTGCACAAACCAGGGGTTGGGGGAGGGTCTCTGGCTTTATTTTTCTGCTATGCAGAATCCTATTTTATATTTTTTACAACCAGTTTAGGTAATAAACTTTATTATGAAAGTTTTTTTTTAAAAGAAAAATGGTTTCTAGAGCGTTTGCTTTGGTCAAAGGTTTTCCTTGGTTCTGAATGGGTCCAGGGGAAAGGGATCCTAAGACTGACCTGTTTGGCTGGAGGTGGTGCGTGGTCCATATTCTGTGGCTATGCACTCTGCTCAGTTCCCCCCACAGCACTTGGGGGTAGAGGAACCGCTGGTCTAGTTTTGGTATTGTATGTCTGGTTAAAATGACAGCTCATGTTTGAGCACTTAATGTGTACCAGGTCCTATGCGGAGCTTTACCTGCTTCCATTTACTTAATCCTATTGAGACAATCCTATGAAGCAGGGCTCTTTGCCCATTTTACAGAAGAGAAAACCAGTGTAGGGGGTCAATTTGCCTTTGGTCATTCCTGTGTCAAAGATACTTGGGTCTTTATTGGCTGTCCACAGAGACTCTGTTTGAAATGGATGACACAGAGAAAATTTCATTGTGACCACAATAACTTCTAGGAAGGGATGGGGGAGTAGGGGCTTGATTTTTGGAAGGAGGACTGGTACATTCTGAAATTCAGCATCAAGGGAAACATTTTAGATGGGATAGAGGATACGGGGTTGGGCCTGACTTCCTTCTTCCCGCCCTGTTTTGTCTGGTGTACTTTTTGGTGAACGCATAACTTGGAGTCAGACGAGGCTTTGTGGTCTGTGGTGGCTGGAGGGCCCTGCTAGCGGCAATTCCTTTTGCCTCTTGGGGCCTCAGCATGGGCCTCAAACATGGGCTTGTTGGAGGAGGTGGAACCCTCAGCAGCAGGTGTCTCCGCATCACAGAGAAAGTGATGTTTTCAGGAGCCAGGGGAGGGAAGAGCTGCTCCAGGATGTTTGAAAGTCCCCATGATATGGGCTTTATGTCTCTGACCGGCCTGACAGATAAGCCATGCTGGCAACTCAGGGCTGTGCTGCTGCACCCAGTGAATTGAATCATGTTCAGGTATAGGGTTAAGCAGACATTGCACTTCATTTTTAGAAATTAGAATGGGCCTCTGCAGCCTTGGACATGCTTATGATGGAATGTCCTAGTATTTAATAATACCTTTCAGGCTCGAAAGTGCAGCATAAAATTAACTTGAAATCTGGAGCTGCCCAGGCTTGTTTTTGGGATTAAATAGGCTCCAGACCTCAAGGTTAAGGATGGCCCGGAGAGATTTAGGATCTCAGAGAGCTTGGGCAATTTCATCCTTTAATAAGATGGGATGGGAGAGAAAGGGGGTGCTGTGAGGTCACTGGCTCCAAGGAATCGCTGCTTTTTCTTTTTTATCTACCTCCTTGCCCTTTGTTCTCTACTGTGTGGATCAAGTTCTGTCTTTGTTCTGACTTTCCGTGTCTCATACCCAGTTTGGGCAGGGCCTGAAAAAAACACAAATCCAAGAAGGCAGTGCTTGGGCACACCGCAGACACTTAGTGAGGACTTAGTGTGTGTAAGGCCCTGTGCTACCTTGTTCAATCCTCACAACTGGCCTTCGAGTTAGAAACCTCTCCCCCCTTTTTATAGGCTCAGAGAGGCACAGGACACACAGCAAGTGATGGAGCCAGATGTTCAAACTTAGATTGTATTGCCTCGGAGGCTGGGTACCACTAGGTAACACAGCCTCCCCCGAGGGCCTAACGGTCGCAATAATAATAACAGCAGCAGCTGCTAACATTTACATATAGCGTTACTGTGCAGTCACCATTCCAACCCCCTAGTTACCTATATTAAGACATTCAAACTTCACCCTAGCCTTACGATTTACTATTAACATCTCCATTTTACAGATGAGGAAACAGATACTCATCTAAAGAGGGATGAATTAGAAGGTAGTTGACTATTTCCAGGGTTTTTTCCTACTTTAAAAAAAAGTTTAAAAGCCACGTCTTCATCACACAAACCCATTCTCCCTATAAAGCCTGGAGCAAAACAGCTAAGAAAAAAACCCCCTCTGACCACACTCCCCAGAGCCGGCCCCTTCTCTTTGTAAGTCATTAAAAAAAACACAAACTATTCCAACATAAGTACAGTGGCATAAAATGACCTAAAAGTCCCCAGGGGCTGTACTCCAGGCCCCGTGTGACTGAGATCCTGTACAGGCTCTGGTGCAGAGGAAAAGGGCTGGGGGAGGCACAGTGTGTGCCATGTGGCTTCCCCTTCGGTGCAGATTCTCTCAAACCTCAGCTTTATGATTCAGCAATGCTGATGTCAATTTACAAGAATGAAAAGTGAGAGGAGGGTGTGTGTGTGTGTGTGTGTGTGTGTGTGCGCGCGCGCGCGCATGGGCGGGGGCGGGGGGGTGTGTTGGGGGCTCAGGTGCCGCTGAGGTACCCTCCCCAATGAGAGTGGGTGAGCTGGGCAGCACAAGGCATACAGAATGGGAAAGGGGCAGCTCTTTACCATAATGGGGACTGCACGCAGGTACAGGAACAGGCTTCAAGCCACATCAAAGCCACCCTGAGCCAGGGACTCTGATCCCCATTTCAGAGATGAGAAAATGGAGGTACAGAGAAGTACAGTCACTTTGCTCAAGGTCACACAACTCAAACATGGTAGCCAAGGCCTGCACCAGGGCCATCCCTCTCTGTAGACCACTGGTTTCTTAAAGAGTGGCGGAGGGGGGGGGGAGTGCTGGGGAAATGCATGTTCCTCGGCCTCACCTCAGCCTGCTTGATCCTCCTAAGCTTGTGAGTCGATCTGTTATTGTCCCAGAGCCAGGAAGTGGAGCACTGAGCCTCTTCCTGAGGTGATGCACATAAAGCACTTAGCACGCAACCTGGCAATAGATCTCCAAACGATACGGTGCTCAATAAATGATCGCCGGGTCCCTACAGCCCCCCTCCACTAGGCACCTGCTGCGTTCCAGGCATTAGGCCCCAAGGACACTTGAAGGGACAAAGTCGAGGGAGTCCTGTCCCGGTTACAGAGTTCACACTCACGGCCTCACACAGTAAATACCGCAACTGAACATGAAACTAAAGAAACAAGAACATTCCAAGCAGGGATAGTGCTCCAATGAAGACTCAACAAGGTGGCTGGATGAGGGGGTTGTGGTGGGGGGTGGCATATTTTAGAAAGGTCAGGAAGGTTCCTAAGGGGACACGGACATTGTGCGTGGGATGACAGGGTGGAGCCAGCCTGGGAGACGGGCATTCCAGGCAGAAAAACACCAAGTGCAAAGGCCATCGGTTGGGATGAGTTCAGTGCATTCCAGAAGGCTGGCCAAGCTGGAGGGGACTGAATGAAGGTGAGTGGCAGGCGACGAGTTGGACTGGGTGGGTGGTGGGCAATGGGCAGGGCCAGGGTCCTGTAGACCTTGGTAAAATGTATGGATTTGAGGTGTGGTAGGGAGCCTGGGGGTGGCCTGATGGAATCTGTGTTGTGACTACACCCTGACTTCTAGCTAGAGATGGACTAAAGCAGGGAGGACTGGTGAGAGGGCGTCAGGCTTCTTGCCTCATGTGTGTACTGGTGGGGGTGAGGGGTGTTCCTTCTTGGCCAGACCCTCAGCTCCAGCCAATCAGGCCAACAGCAAGGAAGGGCCAGCCACAGGAATGCTGAGACTTGGCTGAACACTGGGCCTGAGCGTGGGCTAGGCCTGGAGTGGCCAGCCCTGGGGCAGGCATCCATCAGAAACCACAAGCACGACCAGACCCCAAGCCTGGGTCTGAACAGAGCCCCAGGCATGGCCCGCGGGCTCCAGTGAGGGGCTTCTTGGAGCCGTGGCCACCCCTGCGGGGCAGAGCTGGCCTCCACTTTGGGGGAAGAAGCAAAAGGCCTGCGAGGAGGCGGACGGGCTGGCTGGCACCGGGTGGGTGTGGCCGGTGCTCCCTGGAGGCTTGTTTTGCATCCCCTTCCCTGGCCTCCACCATCACCATCCGAACTCTCTAGGGCTCGAGCTTCAGATAATAACAGGCTTGGCCTCATTCGGGGGGACGGGGGGTGTCTGAAGACCCCTCGGAGCAGGGATGAAGTTTTCAGCAGGGCAAATTCACACGGGACAACGGTGCTCGAGGAGGGCGCTCCAACTCTACCACCGACCCTGGTCCTGGCCCTGGCACCTGCCAGACACCCCCGAGGGACACCTGGGTTCCCCTCTCCACAAGGACTGGCCCCAAGATGAACCTACCACCCTGTACACACACCCCCGGGGCGGGGTCAGGCATCGCCAACCCAGTCCCCCAAGGACTCCCAGCCGCGCTCAGGAGAAGGCCCGCCTCCCACGAGGACCCAGAGGCCTGCAGGCGGCCCTTCCCCACGCTCCCTCCTGCTGCTGGGCCTTTGCACATGCTGTTCCCTCACCTCGTGCGTGTGCGTCGTGGTGTTTCAGCCGGTTTCGAGGTAAAGCGCTCATACAAATAAAAGGCGCCTTCACCAAAGTCCGAGGCCCCGCACGACTCCGCGCTCCTGCTCCCGGGCGCCACGTGCCACGCGCTGATGACGTCACCACGCCACTCCGCACGCAGCGGCCCCCCTTCCCGCCCCCTCCCCCCCCCTTCCAGCCCACCCTACCTCGGCCTCTGAGCCCCTGTGGGCTTCTGGCCCCTTTCGCCTCCGCATGGTCCTAACGCCGCCCTATGCATTCTGCCCGCTGGACGCTGTGCGCTTTCTGGACTCTGAGAGCGCATATCCTAAGGACATGCCAGGTCAAGGCCATATATCGGGCCCTCCTCCATCCCCTAGAGTCTACAGAGACCAAAAAACGCTTCCACTTCATCCCAGTCCACAACCTCAGGTCTCAAATCCTTTTTTCTTTTTCTTTTTTTTTGGTATTTTTTTTTCCAAACCCTCTTTTTCTCACTTGGACATGGGGTTAGTAATTGTACCCACCCCGTGGGTAAAATTAAATAAAAGGGTGCCTGTAAAGTGCTTAACATATGATAGGCAATCATTGGGACTGGCCCTCTGTTTCTTGACTATTGCATTGCTGCTGTTTTAAAACAATGCCATTTATGGAGCACCTAATGGGTGCTAATACTTCATCCCGGCTGCATCGTGAGGAGACAGGCTCAGAAAGGTGA